AACGAATGGCAACTAATACTAACCCAATCACCCCTGTAATATGGGATTTCCCCAAATCTCGCGTGATGTGGTTGATTGCTTAACAGAAAAGAATCGAGATTTCTTCGAAGATGTGTGAACATGCATGGCATTCCTTACCCCTTTATGTATGGATTTGAGTTCTAGTTATAAATTACTTGAACTTGTCAATCAGGTCTCTGATGCTGTTTATGTCGGACAACATACATGTCATCTCACCCGTTTCTTGCGTAACGAAACAAAAAGGCAAGGAACCAGCAGTCTGCATACAAATAAGTCAGATCTGTAAAATGGATGCTCACGCAACACTCAGGATCTGGACCAGGACTGCAGTCCAGAAGTGGATAAGCAACCATAACTTTCCACCAGAGTTTACAGCCGGTGAACGCAAAGAAAAAAAAAGGAAAAGAAGAAAAAGAAGAAGAAGAAGAAAAAGGTTCTTTTCCGTTTAGCAGTCACACACACATCTCGCGTGCTTTAAGGACATCCCATATTATGGAGGGGGGAGGGGGGGGGGTAGATTTAGTATTAGTGTTAAAAATCTAGCCAAACTATTTCAGGATCCTCGCCGGTGCTACAGAGCCTGTGCACTGTGTTGAGCTTCTTCGAACTCAGACTTGAGTTGGAGGAAGAACGGAGCACTTATTGGTGTGCTTCTTCGCATTCACCGACTGTAAACGTCAGCGAGAAATGCTAGCTGTTCGTCCACTTTTGGACTTTAGTCTTGTTCCAGAACCTGTTGCGTGCACATCCGTTTTACAGATCTGACTAATTTGAATGTAGAATATGGGTTCCTTTTCTCTCACGCATATGCTCTTTAATTTCAAAGGACTCCCCCCCCCCCCCCCCCCCCCCCCCCCCCCCGTATATCTGAGTGTTAAGCGTCGGCCAGATCCCCTGGTAAATCCTCGCATCGCCATTCTCCTCAGTCCCTAATGATCTATTTGCATATCTCCGCACTGTTCACTTGTTCCCAAGGGACCCTCACAATATCTAGCTTTTCATACTCAGTTCCCCACCAAGTGGTGCAGAGCCGACCAGTCTTCTGTCTGTTCTTTTCCCAACTCACCGACATACATGACCTGGAGAAAATATCCTAATGATGCTAATTACCAGAGACCTCAGAAGTAATGCATCGAAATAAGAAACAAATGAGTTGAGAAAACAATAAGATCTAAAAAAAAAAATCTGTAACGAACGTTGAAGAAGAAAAAGCAATGGTGCCGATCTGTACAACTAAAAAAACAATGAATAATCAGCTACTAAATTAAGAAAATCTTGAATTAAAAATGAGGGTTCTTTTCTTGGTGCTTTATTAATATCCTACTTCGAAGAGGGAAAATTCTTAGGTCACGGGACAGTCTAATATTTCAGGGGGTGGTAGATAGGCTGCACTCTCTTGTGGGACGTAGGTGGGTTGGGGTTAGGGCCAGTTCTAGATGTTTTAGGGTTGTTAAAAGAACCAAAAAGCCGGGAAACCCAGTCTTACCACCCTCTAAAATGTTGGACTACCCTGGGACGTCATCTAGGGTAGGATATAAATAAAGAACCCTTTTCTTTTATTTCACCCCATCTCGGGGACTCTGAGATTTTGTGTCGAGTTCATGGGAAAGTACAATAGTATATTTATAGGGATTTTAGGGTGTAAAAATAAAGACCGACAATACCCCCTATACTAGTGGATATTCCCGGGAATTCTTCACAAAATCTAGGAGTCCCCAAGTTAGGGTGAAATAAAAGAAAAAAACCACGATGAGACAGGATGAATTATACACCAGTATTATGTATCAAACATGTGATGAAATTCATATCGATAACAAACATGAATGAATGGTGATAATGTTTTGTCAGTACCACCGCTATTACGTGTTATCAGCTGAAAAACATGCTGTAGTTTGTAAAAGTATGTCAAGAGATCGTAAACTGTATCAACAGGGCAAGCAATATCAGATCTTAGTAATTGAACTCCCCAATCTAGATAAGGGGTTTTGGCTGTATGGGTCACTGCAAGTGCACAGGTTTAGGGACAACCATACTGAAAAGAGTGGTAATGAAAGAAGACCACGTTACACTTACAGGTTCTATCCCAATAATTCACCACAAACACGGGAAATCTGCAGGTGCTTTAACATCTATGCCTTGTGTGACCAAAAGGGGCGGGGTTACCATACGTCCCATTTTCACCGGCACCAATTGTGGCCGTTTATACAAATCTAGGATTACGCCAGAGAATGGAACGCGCTCTTATATCAGTTTACTTTACGTAGTGGCAAATACTTTTAATGCCTGAATGCTCTACACAACTTAGTGGAATACTGATACATGATAAGGCAGACGTGGTTAGTGCCTTGTGGGAGAGCATGTACAATTCGGAGGAGCAGATGGATCACCAGTCTGGTGAGATTGATGCAGTTGGGGGTGACGAGAGGTTCTGGCAGATGCTCGTGGCTCAGAGGAAAGGCAAGACGGACGTTTAATCGGAATGCTACTGGCACCATTAGTATCGGAACTCTTCGCTGGCTGCTGAAGATGGGGACGGAGCGCTTATGGGAATACCCTGAGTGCTGTGATGTTGGTTCTTGAATCAAATAAAATGCCTGAAAGGTGTTGAGAATTTCCATTGTGGCATATGTATGTGTGTGTGTGAATGTTCTTTGAGAGTACTCGTGGTGTGTCTGCCTCGTGGTCGGTCTATGACCATCATCTCCCATGTGCTGACAATTTTCACCTCTCTGCCATTCACTCAATCTGCCCCTGCTCTCATGATGCCAATGATCAATGGTGATAAGAATACACTGGACAGATAAAAAGAGTAATTAGGATGTATTGAAAGTTATCTGCGACCGTGTTGCCTATTGGCTGGCTGGTGGACAGCTTCGTCGTCGGTCAAGACAATGTTTGGGTGTGTCTCTTAATCACATCAACATTGCAGGAGATTTTTTTAGGGCTACTTGATGGCGAGCAATGCTTAGCCATTTTATATGGTGCACATAAACCTAGTCACAATTATAACCACCCCCCACAACATTTCGGGGGGGGGGGGGGTGGTGTGTGCTAGTTGAACGCGAGGTTATTTTTCTTCAATTTTTGTCAGCAAAACAAGTCCTGAAAGAAACTGACTTATGAAGACAACTAATTGCCCAAATCAGAAAAAAGACAATCTACATGCTTTGGTCATGTGATAAGATGGAGAAAACTGGAGTACATCATGACAGTGGGAAAGTTGGAGGGGAAGAGAGGCAGACCAAGAGAAAATGTGCTTGACAGTTTGACATCATGGAGGGTCATATGTGACAGAGTTGACTGGAAGTACACAAGACAGAAGACTGCGGATAGACCTGACTATCAACGCCACCGACTTCAAGAAGAAATGGCTGCACGGCTTAACAGGGTTTCTGGGATGTTAGTCTGTTTGATTCTCACACTTGAGATGTTAACTTCACAGACTGCAATCCTGGATATATTTTTAAAAAAAAAAAGGTTTTACGTTTAATGCAGCAGAGGCATTGAAAAAAATGGTCCATCATATTTACTTTGGGTGTTTTGTCTAGGAAAACATAGTGCTGGCATTATATACCCATTGTGTTGTATTAAAAAGAGGCATTTTTCTTCTTCTTCACTTCCTCTTTTACCGCTGTGGGTGTCGGGGGAGATATAAGGTTCTGTTTCTAGCTCTTCTGGCTGCCTCGACCATAGGCACATAGTACTGTTGTAGAGTTTCTCTGATGCTATCCTTCCATCTTGTTCTTGGTCTACCTCAGGCTCTACGTCCTTCTTCTCTTTCCATGTATGCTTTGTATGGTATGGTGTCACAAAAAGAGGCATTAATTTCATTAAAGATCCCTGGGTCAAGTTGACAATTATATATAAAAGTGTGGGTGAGACTGGAGAGAGAGCGAGAGACAGAGAGTAAGGAGGGAGCTGTAACAGACAAACATATTGAGATAGAGAAGAGAGGAGAGTTCAACAGACAAACACCAAGACAGAGAGGAGGGACCGAATTCTCAAAATAGAGAAAAATATATGTGAGCTTCCCCAGAGTGGTCCCGGAACTCCCCTCAACAAGCAGGTCACAAAAGGTGACTTTGGGATTCCTAAATTGTTGGATGGAAAAGCATGGATGGATATTCAACTGTAAACCGACAACAGTTTGCGACTGCCCTTTTCATAAGTGAAAGCAGATGCTGCCTGTGTTGAGTTAGGTCAAGAACTGATAACAAAGCATTCATGATATCCTATAAGTGCCCCAACCCAGTCTTCAGCAGCCAGCCCTAGTTTCAATATTAGTGGTGATCACATCAGTATGATTATATGTGGGTTCCGCTGCCCCATTGGGAGGCAAATAGGAATAAATCCACTGTCACCCTCCTGCCCAAGCATGTTGTAGGAGTCAACTGGGGGTAGACTTTGAAGCCAGAGCGCATCTGCCTGAGAGGTACAGAACCAAGAGTTTTGGAGAAGGACTGAAGTCTGGAGGTGGCTGAACATCCTGAACTTTCCACCAGTTTACAGACGGTGAATGTGAAAAAAAAAATAATTAAAAAATAAAATATAACAGTTATTCTTTTCAATCAGAACAACCCATGCTGACAATTTATGGAAAAATGAATTTATTTCATTTCTTCTCAGAAAGTAATAATCAATCATAGTGTAACCCAACTGAATAAACATTTTTAAAAACAACAGATAAATTAATTGAAAGAATAAAACTTAACATTGGCATTATTACAATTGATTCTTTTGTTCAATTACACAATTATTATTAACACAAGAAAAATTAACTGAAAGAATATAAAAAGAACTAGACATCAGCATAGTTACTATTATTTCTTTTGTTAAATGACACCCTACTGTAGATAAGGTGTTTGCGAAGAATGGCTAACAACAGGAACAATTTACATTAACAAAGATTCATTGCATAAGGAACAACAGACAATGTAGTCAAATCAAACAGCATGGATCCAGAATATTCAGATCCGCTATCAAGAACTGGCCCCAGCAGCAAGCAGAATGTTGAACGGCGAGAAACCGAGGTAGGAGATTAATGCAGATTTGGTTGGGAAAGCTCCAAGTAGCTCTGGCGAGGAGTGGCTTTCACTTCTGAAACAAATACACACAAAAACTAGCTGAAAATGTCTTAAACATGGAGGCAAAAAATTTGCATTAGTCTTCTAAAAGTAATACTTGGGGGTTCATAGCAAAAGCAAATGGACGTTGCATAGTGCAGCAAAGCCTGGCATATGATATCACGAGGTCTAGTTTGAGAATGAAGGTGCAGGCAGTCACCTCTGCCTTCCGCTAGCTTCAGTTTCAGCTGTACATACATCGTAATTATAATGACTCACAGAGCATGTTGAGAAAAGTGGAGACAGGTATGCTCCGTGCAGAGTGGCAAGTATCACTTTAGAGGTCTCGGATAGTTAGCAACTTTTAGATATTTTATCCAGGTGATGCAAGTGTTAGGAAAAGAGCAGGTAAATAGACTTGCCGGTTCTGCACCACTTGGTGATGAACTGATGTATGACAAGCCAGATGTTATGAGGGTCCTTTGGAAGTGAGTGAACAGCGCGGAGGCGCAAATAGATCACTTTGGTCTGAGAAGAATGGAGCTGCAAGGAGTTAGGAGGGAATCTGGTCGACGCTCAACACTCAAGGGAAAGAAAATACAGACAGTTACTGGTGCTATCAGAATTGGAACTTTTAGCTTGCTGCTGAAGATGGGGAAGGATCACTTATGGGAGTATCCCAAGTGCTGTGATGTAGTTTTTTAATTCAACATATTCTACAAGCAACAGTTTTGAGAAAAGTCAGTCTCGTCGCAAGATTCCATGAAGGGAAAACCCCAACTGCACCTCTATGCGGTAGAGGACAGTAAACAATCAGCGGTGTGTCCAGTGCAGCTATGGGGACCAAGTGTCCACCAAGATAAGTGGATACCTGCTGTGGTGTACATCCTGAAGACAGCCCAGACCTCATCGGTCACAGAGAATAAACATATTCTTCACCCATAGAGGGCAGCACATTACATCATAACCATATTCACACTCACACCCCCTCCCCCTTTTTTTTTTTTATATCATCATCAAGTGCCCTGTTGACTGGCATGGGCTATCATGCTTCTCCACAATTTGCAATCTTTATTAGCATGTATCAGTTCTTATGCTGACACCCTCCCATGACAACAACAACAAAAAACTGTCAAAAATCTTCTCTCGTCTTCTTCTGTCTCTTTTTCCATAAATTTTTCGAGTGGTCACAACAAATCATCTTTCTGATGTTTGTAATAAGTTGTCTTCGAGCCCTCGCCTCTTTAAAAAAACATCTGGGTTGCTCTCTTTAGCCATCCAAGGATGGAACAAATTTATTGTGTAAAACTGTATCTCAAGAAATTGTCTGGCTTGTTTATTAATTGTCCACAATTCATCGCCATATAATAAAACTGGCTCTATATAAAGTAAAGGACCCTTTTCCACGCGTTCAGGCATATTGGGCTAGACCTATATTTTATAGACCAATCCGCACTTGGTGGTGATGTCCACCTTTCCTTACCAGGGACTGTAACTGGTATCCATTCAAGGCTGGGTCGACATGGGAGCCAAAGATTAAATATGCAAATGCAATGTGTTCGAAATAAAGATGTAGCACTCAAGTGATTTTGGCATAGTGCAGGTTGGTTTATGGCCTGGTTTCATCTTAACACACCTGTGGCCAAACTTTGCACACTATTCGCCAAACTCTGCACACCTGTGCCCCAAACTTTGCACACTATTGGCCAAGCTCTGCACACTTGTGCCCCAAACTTTGCACACTATTGGCCAAACTTTGCACACTATTGGCCAAGCTCTGCACACTTGTGCCCCAAACTTTGCACACCACTCTGGTTTCTTATTCTTTGTGTTCACCGGCTGTTAACTCTGGCAGAAAATTCTGGGTGTTCATCCATCTCCAGACTTTAGCCTTGTTCCAGAACCGAAGTGTTGAGTGAACATCCGTTTCTCACATCTAGCTTATTTGTAATCAGACTCTTGGTTCCTTGACTCTCAGATGGATGTACTTCAACTTCAAAGGATGCCCACAATTAGTCGACTCCTATGACGTTGCTTATTGGGAACGCACTGGGTCTGTTTTGATTTTCTCCATCCCTGTGTGGGTTTTGGGGCCTCCTTGTGGGGAAAACAAGAATAGACCCACTGCCTGCCTAAAAGCATGTCATAAGAGTCAACTAACTGGGAGCTTTCTTCGAAGTCGGAGTGTACAACTCATTGAGAGAACTTTTTGGCCAGAGTTTACAGCCGGTGAACGTGAAGAAGAAGAATTTTCTCAACAATGCAGCCCCAGAATGCACTGAGAGACACTGGTTTCTGAGATTGGACAGGGGTAAGGGCAGATCTGTATTACAGTCCCCATGGAGGAAGCACTTTGGTGACAGCTCAGAAGCAAACTTAACATATCAAAACTGATCCCAATTCGTGCAATTATATTTTAGGGTTCAAAGGACTGGAATGTCAACGTACAATAAAACTAGGTTATCACGAACTGGCTTTTGAAGAACACTCACAACTGTGGTTCCAGCAGAAATACATTACACTTCTTCTTCTGCCTTTCTAACCCCCAATGGAGCATAGGCCCTCAACCAACTCACACCAAGTTCTATTCTTCGCTTTCACATGCAGCTCTCCTCATGTCCTCCTCATCTTTTTAACATCACTTTCTAGCTCCCTTCTCCATGTGTTTTTTGGACTTTCTTTATTTCTACGCCCCCAGGGTTACAGTGCAAAGACAGTCTAATTATATGTTCTCCAGTTTTCTCAACTTGTTTTTTGGTCCAATGCCAGTGTCTTTTCTTCACCTTTTGGTCTGGAACTTGTTTAGTTCTCTCCCACAGCTCTAAATAAGTTTGGAGCGCCATTTGGAGGTGACAGATTTGATTCCCGGCATGGTAATTTTAGCTTTAGATTTTTATGTTGTCTAGTGTGTCCTTCTAGCTTTCTACTTCTTTCTATAAGTCCTATTCCATATACTGTCTGTTTATTAAGTATATAAACTTATTAAGGCCTCAAGGGTTTAACACTCTGTTTATTTATGTATTAGCATTAAAACTTAGATTGCCAGAGGATTCTTTAACCAACCAACTCTACTCTAGGTATAAGGACTAGCGACAAAGAAACAAAATGGAAGACAGCAAGAGAACGAGAGAGAGAGAGAGCGCGGAAGAGAGAGAACGAAAGAGAGAGAGAGAGAGAGAGCAAAAGAGAGAGAGAGAGAGAGAGAGAGATAGAGAGAAAATAGGAAAGAAGAACACAAAGTGAAAATAACAGAGATAAAAAGAAAACTAAAAAGAGTAATTTAAAAAAAATGAGAAAGTATAAAGAAGTGAGAAAGACACAATAAATGAAAGAGAGAAAGATAATAACAACTTAAAGATAATAACAAAATGGCTGAACTCACTGGTGGGGTTCGACTGTCTTTTTAACATCCCACAGCCGTATACAACAATCCCCACCACCGGAGGCCAGCAGGGAGCTGTCTTCGTTGAAAGCCAGGGCATAAACCGTATCACTGTGCCCACGGAGGTCCTTGATGGCGTGGCCTGTGCCCAGGTCCCAAACCCTCACTCTTCTGTCCTCACCTGAGAGATTTAAAGATGTCAAAAACGTTTCTGGGTACTTGTTTTTCTGTCAATGTTTATGGGATCTTGGCAAGGCCTATGGGTTTCTCTGTGTATGTTTATGTCTCTGGGTATGTGTCTCCGAGTATGTGTGCGTGTCTATGTCTTCGAGTATGTGTGCTTGTCTATGTCTCCGAGTATGTGTGCATGTCTATGTCTCAGAGTATGTGTGCGTCTATGTCTCCGAGTATGTGTGTGCGTCTATGTCTCTGAGTATGTGTGTGCATCTATGTATCTGGGTATGTGTGCGTCTATGTCTCTGGGTAGGTGTGCATCCATGTCTCTGGGTATGTATGCATCTACGTCTCTGGGTAGGTGTGTGTTATGTATGTGTATTTGCTTGCATTCACGTGGACTTCTGATTTTAATATAGTGGTCCATTAAAAATGTTCTTGAATTTGCTGATGCATTTTTCCTTCAATCTGAATTTAAATTGCTGAATGTAATAAAAAGAATGCACTAATAACTGTGAGATTGCTGAAAATGATCAATTTCATTGCCCATCATATGAGCTGAGTGGTTGGTGTATCACTGTGAGCTGTGGATTTCATGCTGAATGCCCTTTTTGCCTGTGGTATGCATTGCTGAGGCCCCAGCATGGTGGGTGACTGCTTCAAGCCAAAACTGAAGTGTGCCTTATGCCTTTTTGTGTGCGCAATTGCTGGTTTGTCGTGACTGCTGCTTTCATCAACAGTAAACTGTAATTCTAGTGGCAGACTGTAGGCATCGGCACCTCTGTTGGATGCCCTGTATACTTACTGTGTGTGCAAGCTGACAGATTTTGTGCAGGTTTTTTTCCCCCACTGGCACAGGTGTGGAGTAATTATGGGGGCTGACTCATTTTCCCTGAAGTTGGAACCACACCTAAGTGTGTAAAACTGATTTCCGTCTTGTTCTTCTTCGTCTTCTTAGCATTCACTGGCTGTAAAGTCTGGTGGAAAGTTCTGGTTGTCCATCTAGTTCTGGACACTTTTTTTTTTTAAACAGAAGATGATTTTTATTTTGTCATTTATTTCCCGGTTGGGGCATAGAACTTCAACCACACTGGGACATTTTTAGCCTCAAACACACAGTGACTGGTCATTCATTCATGCTTCCTGACCTTTCCCATGCACTAATTTAAGTGACAGGGGAGTCAGGATGTGTTCAGAACTTGAGTACGTGCATATTTCTTTTGGAAATCTGGCTCATTCGTATGCAGACTGTTGTGTCCCAACCTCTCTGCACCCCAAATCTAAAGGAAACACCTCTAATTAGTCGATTTTTATGACCTGTGTTTTAGGGAGCAAGTGGGTCTATCCTCCCCCTCACCCTCTAAAATGGGGCCCTAGAACCTACATGGGTTAAACAAAGCCCTTAAAAATAACAAATGAACAACTTGCCCTTCTACTCACCAGCAGACGCTAACAGCTTCCCATCTGGAGAGAAGGCGAGTGCCAAAACTGACCCTCTGTGACCCTGCAGCAGGCGGACGGTGCGACCCTCTGACAAACTCCAAAACCGAACCGTCTTGTCTCCAGACCCTGTGGCTAGGTAATTGTTATTTGGGTGAAACTCTACACACTGAAATGGGAAAAAAGGTAATAGGAACTAGGGCTGTACCGAATAGTGATTTTCACTATTCGGCCGAATACGAATAGCTGGACCTACTATTCGGCTGAATACGAATACAAATAGTGAATCATCATCATCAGGTGCTTTGCCGACTGGCATAGGCGATTTATGCTTCGCCACAATCTGCGATCTCCTGCTGCATGTATTAGTTCGTGTGCTGAAACATCTCCATGCCATGCAACAAGACTATCAAGAATCTTCTCTCATTGTCTTCCTCTATCCCTCCTTCCACACATTTTTCTAGTGGTCACCACAGGTTCCATTTTTCCTCATAACATGGCTGAAAAATGATGACTGTCTTCTTTTGATGTCTGTGAGTAGTTGTTTTCGGGCTCCCACCTCTTTCAAAACCTAGTTCCTTTTTTTTTGTTGCTGTCCAAGGTATTTTAAGCTTTGTTCTGTAAAACCACATCTCTGAGGCCTCAAAAAATTGTTTGGCCTGCCTACCGATTGTCCAGGATACACAGACATATGTTAAAACTGGATGTATGTAACAAGCAAGAATTTTTTCTAACCTTCAATGACAAAGATATATTGCATTAAATGTTCTTCATTTTATAAAATGCAGTTTTTGCCTGTCTTATTCTTTTTCTTGTACTTGTCCCAAAATAAAACCATTGACTTTTATTTCACATGTAGGAATAATTATTTTCTTTCATACCACCATTACTTCTGTCTTCCCACTATTCAAACTGAGACCCATTCTTCCACTTTCGAATAGTGTATAAAATAGATCTAAACAAAAAAACATCCATAATGTCAAATCTACGCTGAAATGTTGCTTCACAGAATGTAGTATAGAATAGTAAACATTTAAAACATTTCATTTTTTGCATCCTTCAGTCAGTCAGTCTGTGGTAACTAATACGTAGGAATGAAATTATTCTTAGTTTTATAACAAGTAACTAAACTTGTAAACTGTCACTGACAGCTTAGTTAATCCATGAAAGCGGCATGAGCTTTAAAAAAAAAAAAAAAAAAAACTTCCTTCCATGTTGTCAGCATTAAGGCAGCTTCTTGTCTCACTGAAGGTATTTCCAGCTGTACTAAACAGACGTTCACTTGGTACGCTCGTAGATGGTGCACAAAGATAACGCTTGACAGTATGAACCAAGGTGGGAAATCATGATATGTTTATTTTCCACCAGTCCAGAAACGGGTGTAACGTAACCACCATTTGTATTCGGTCCGACCACAACTATTCGGCCGAATACCGAATAGTTATTAGGTCCACTATTCAGCCCACGAAGCGAATATTTGGTACAGCACTAATAGGAACCAACTTATTTGTCAAGGGAGATTGCCGAGCATAAAATTTAAAAAAACGCAATGACATCATAGGATATTGTAGAAAGCGATATCTGACTATTTAAGAATGCACTAACATATTATATCAGTAAAGTAAAGGTCCCTTTTCCAAGTGTTCAGGCGCACTAGGAATATGGGGCTAAACCAATATTTTTAAAGATGAATCGGCACTTGGTGGGTCATGTGGTTAGCATCAGCACTTCCCTGGGTACCCACTGAAGGCTGGGTCAACCTGGGAGTCAAGGTCATTTGAAAAAAAAGGCCCACCCGGCCACATATTATGAAAGATTTAATAAAAGAATGGACAAAGCCAATTTGGCAGATACTGCCTTCAGGTTTCAAGGGCGATATGAGGTTTTCACACTTCTGGCAGCCTTGACCATAGACGTATCGATCAGTTGTAGTTTCTCTGATGTTATCTTTCCATATTGTTGTTGGTCTACCTCGTGCTCTATGTCCTCATCTTTTTATTTTATTTCTTGTTTGATATTTGTTCAAAAACGATCTTTGCTCCCAGGTTGACCCAACCTTGAGTGGGTACCAGGTGCATTCCCGGGAAGTAAAGGTGGCCGGCATGATGCTGACCACATCACCCGTCTTGTGCAGATTGGTCTATAAAAAATATAGGTCTAGCCCTATACGCCAAAAGCGTGGAAAGGGTCCTTTACCTTTACTTTTTTTTTTTAAATTGAGTGGCACTGCAATTTCTCTTAGTGAACAAAATATTTGATTTCCTGTCTTTGTATGTCATTTAAAACTAATTTTGCTGACTTGTTTCTCTGATAACCACATTCCTGATTTGATCTCTTCTGGTTAATCCGGCAGCCCTACTCAGAATCTCATTTCCATGGTTATTATTTGATTTTCTTGTTTGTTGTGAGCGACCATGAACTGGCACTGGTAAAGCAGGGTTGAAATGAATATGCTTCTCTGTGCTGATTGGAATCGTCTTCTGTTGTAAGAGGTGAGCTAGCTGTCCCAATACTTGGTTCGCTGAACTGCTGAACATAATAAAAGAATGCTCTGATTCAACACAGGAGACTGCTGAAAATTATCAGAACACACTAATGTATCCTGGGAGATTACTCAGTGTAATGAAAGAATTCACTATAAAATCTTGAGACAGCAAAAAAATAAGAGATTACTAAAGCATTGTATAGGAGATTGCTGGGTGTAATCTAAGAATTCACTATAAAATCTTAAGATTGCAAAACATAAGAGTACTAGAGCATTTTATGAGATTGCTGAGTGTAATCAAAGAATTCACTATAAAATCTTGAGATTGCAGAATATAAGAGTATCCTAAAGCATTTTATGGGAGATTGCTGAGTGTAATCAAAGAATTCACTATAAAATCTTGAAATTGCAGAATATAAGAATATGCTAGAGCATTTTATGGGAGATTGCTGTATAATGTAAGAATGACAGATGCCTGAGAAAAATGTTGAACATAAACTGAGATGAATTCAAGAGGGGTAAAGAAATAAGAGAAATATCTGGGCAACCACTAGTAATAACAGCTAGAAGACATTATATTAGACACCTCCTGAGAAGAAATGACCAGAGAATCACTAAGCACACATTAAAAAGCAAATAAAATGATTAGGAAAGTGATGACGCCCAATAAGAAACCCTCCAACAAACACTGATGACAGGGCAAAGGTGACAAACTGAATTCCATCCATGGTACTGAATTGACTGCTGTGTTAGCGTAGCCGATAAGAAGCTAGATTTCCTCCAGCTGCAACTCGCTGCAGCTCACGGTCGGTGTTCGAAACCGGGCGGCTCCCAGGGTTCACCCAGCCTCTAGGAAATGGGTACCAGAGTGATATTCTGGGGTAAATGGAGGAACGTCGCTGTAGCTACAGAGTTACGTGCGAACGGCGACACAGGCAGACAGTTCTTATCAGCTGTCCGTACTGGTGGCAGAGCACTTATGGTTTATAACCGTGTGCAATGACGCTGGTTCACACCTCCCGACTTTACCTTTACCTTTTTGACAGCTGCACAGGATAGAATGGAATGAAGGACAAGATTGCAAGCCCTGTGTGACATAGAATGCTGCAAAAAGACAATGAAAGTCAATGTAAGAATACATGAACAAACTGACACTGCTTACATCAACATCCATTGTGTGCCCAATGTAGGATCGTAAGGGGTAAGTTCTTTCAAATGTCCACAGTTTGGCTGTTGTATCATGAGAACAGCTGGCAAACCATGAGTATGTTGAACTGTGTCAAGAGTTAATAACAATGAAAACACTTCAGATCACTGAGAACAAATGTATTATGTAATTTAGCAATGAGATTTTTCTTCTCTACATAACTTATACGGGAGTCGCTTGGCGTTGGCGGCTAGATGCTCGCCTGCAGATCAGAAGGTCGTGGGTTTGCTCCCTCGTGGAGCCAGACTTTTGTTTAAAAATGACCTTGACTCCCAGGTCGACCCAGCCCTAAGTTCGTACCAGGTGCAGTCCTGGGAAGTAAAGGTGTCCGCTGTGATGCTGACCACATCATCCATCTTGTACTGGTGGTGTATAAAATATAGGTCTAGCCCTATATACCCAATACCCCTGAAAGGCTATAAAAGGGTCCTCTGCTTTATTTTTACACAACTTATACTGCTTTAAAAATCTTAATTTTTTTCTGGGGGGGGGGGGGGGGGCATAGGTAATTAGTCTGTTCACAAAACCTGAGGGTAGTGTGAACAAATCTAATCTAATCTGCACTATAGGATCTGTTCATCTTTGAATGTGGGATTCAGAATCGATATCAGTCCTCGGAATACCCCCATAAGCGCTTCGTCCCCATCTTCAACAGCAAGCGAAGAGTTAAAATTCTGATGGTACCAGTAACTGTCTGACTGTATATCTGTAGTGAGTCATTTTCTCCCCATTAATTTATGCCCGATAGATGATGTCAGTAATAAATGTAAGGCGAATGTTTTGACTGACTGAGATAACACGAGATTTATGTCTTGAGTTTCATGAGACACATCTGAAAGTCAGGTTTTATGTGAAACATGATTGTTCACGTGAACCATGAAGGTTGACTGGCAGGATTCGTGTGAAATGCGAATTATCACGGGCCAGACCCGACTTTCAACGGGGGGAATTCGTGAGAATGAAATTATCCAGAATATTCAAGAACATGACAGATCAGAGGGCTATATAATAGCGAAGAAAGGTTTGTGAGGCAGTCTCGTTTAGGCCAAGGGAAGGTGTACGGGTGAAGAAGTCCGGAAGAATGTTGACGTCTGAATAGCGTGATTTCCCAATGCCTACCTGGCATAAAATAGCGGAAACGGTGGCCAGCTGTGAATGACTGTTGTCTGGATGGAGGGAATTACTGTGTTTCGCTAAGTTGTGTGATGAATTCTACGATGTTACAAAGGTATGATTGACTGTTTAGAGCATTGAATAAGTAATCGATGAGTGATATTGTCGTGTATGAACATTTACTGACTGCAACATCAGCGAGTGAAAATAAACGGTACGTGTAACTTCTGAACGTCTGCCAGCGTCCATGTTTTCTCGTTCTTGTCAGTTGGTGAATGGAAAGATGCGGTGACTCATTCGAGCCAGCAATTAATAACAATGAAGATCACTGCAGAATGGGGAACTCGTCCAAACATTTGAGGATAGGAAAGTTGTTTCGTACAGTAAAATCTGAGACATTGGAAATGAGTTTAGTTTAAGTTATCAACCTGACGTCGGGTAGTACCAGTTCAACATACGAACGTAAGCGGGGAAGATCGATGGCCACATAACAACAACCCATATTCGATAGTTCAAAGATTGAACAACGTTCGAACAAATTCCAGGCTCTGAATACTGATTAGACAAGTCCACGTTTTAAGTTTCGACCAAGTAATCAACAATCAACAAAGATGCGAAGGAAAGATTGCAGACAGTGACAGTGTCAAAGAGCAATCATTAATGGTAGCAAAGGAATACAACAGTAAGTCTACACAGAGATGATGTGAGACTAGGGCTGCCCCTCTGCAAAACTTCCGAAGCCTTGTTGTTTGATAAAATTTTGCTGCCGACTAAAGTGTGGTAAAGTGTAGTGGGAAATCTACACTGAACAACACAGAGAAGCGTCGACACCAGATCCTGTTTTTCGGATCTGTTTTTCAAAACATAGAAAGACAGTGAAACACCGGGTAGAGTGTTAACTGTAAACGGAAATCAAAAGAACCACAGCTCTGACACTGGGTGTTTGTGTCGCAGCTCTACAGTTTCAGCCGTGGCAAACCATTTAATAGGAAAACTACAGTATGACAAGTCTACAAAACCTCAAGATCAGCACTCATTGATGTCTCATGATCAATAATGCTTCAAGTTCATCGTATAATAATCACCCATATCATAAGAAGGCGATAACAATAAAGCTTTCCTACGTCCTAAACACATTCAGTCGACAGGAAAAGCATCAAATTGGTCGGTGCAAATCTAAGTATTGATTTAAGTGTGTAGCTAGCGGTGAACTATTTAAGTATTTGCAGTTAACAATGTACTATTGAAGTGTGTAGCTAGCAGTGAACTATTTAAGTGTCTACAGTTAACAATGTACTATTGAAGTGTGTAGCTAGCAGTGAACTATTCAGTGATCAATATCCAGTTTATGAAACCGGTAGTACAGTGAACAGTACCACAAACAGTATACAGTTTCTGTAATAAATGCTTCACTGAACAATTCCTTAATCAGTGTGCATTCAATGCTAAAATTAGTAGTGTGAACAGATAAACTGTGCAGTCATAATTAATTTCAGTGCCCAGTTGATGAAATCATTACTATGGTGTTAATTTTAATTAACCCTATCAAATTATCATTTCTTCAATATTTTAAAAGTAGCAATAGAAAGATCAACAGACAAACGCCATCTGAACAACGCTCAAGACATCTTAGCAAGTCATCGCAGAAGCAGCTTCAGGACAGTCATCTAGATCAGAACACCAAGATACAGCATTGATTATTAATTTTATTTTTGATTTATTTTTCTGGTGATTCAGTTATTTATTATATTTATCAATATTATTTATTTATAATTTACATTGGTGCATTCATTGACATTTACTTTATTTATATTATTACATTGGTGTATTTGGTATTATTTTGCATTATTCTACTATTTTTTACATTATTTTTTTTTTATTTATTTATAAATATTGGCAAATTGTATTGAAATTCTAAATTTTTTTTTTTTTTAAAAAGTGTGTGGGTGTTATATTACACGAAAGTTCAGTACCACTATCATCAGGAAGTGCCATAATTAATCACATACACACATCATCATTAAATCAAGTGTCAAAGTTATTTCAATTTTTTAGTTTAACATTTGATCAAGTACTCATTCACATTTGATCATCATCAAACGTAACACTATAACAAAAGTATTCAGTTTGGGTAATAGAAATTGTATTGTATACCAAGAATAATAAGTTAATCATTGGTGATTTAACAGTTAATTGGGGAAAGATTATTGTAATATTATTTGGTGATACATTCATTGATTCAACACTATATCTTTATTTAATCTGTATTGAATAGTATTATTGTTGATTTCTAATATGGACTAAATTTATTGGTGAATAAGAAATATTTTGTTACAAGTTTCTGCATATATATTGTAACTGAGTTTTGCTTCATTGAAAGCGAATTTAATAAGCATTATACTGAACAAGTGTATTTAGTAGTAATTACGAGAAATAATTTAATTATTTGAGAATATTAGTGATTACTCTATCACAGTCGATTATCAAGAATAATTCAATTAAATATTTTTTAATAATATTTATTTCATTAGAAGAGTATTTAATTATACCCAGACTCTGCAGCCATTAAAGACAATTTTTTTTTTTTTTTGATGTTATTTCACAAGGTATAATCAGTCTGAAACTTTATAACCAACTACTGTACTACACAGGATTATTATAACATTTAATCATTGTTACACATTTACATATTCATTAGTTATTTATTTAGTAAATACTTTGATAGTCCACTACATCTAACACGTTGATAATCCACTGCATCTATTCTAGTGCTACAACATTCTATTAGTTGATTAATAATCTTTATCAAACAAATATATCATTTTTTCTTGCTGTCATATCTAATTTCTCAGGTGTGCTTAAGTGATTTACTCTCCCATAAGCTAAATAAAAATTAGTTAACTCTTCTTCTCAAACATCAACTGTATATATATATAGAATTATTTAGTCATAGGCTTAGTGGTTGGAAGAGTTACATCCACTTTATTTTAAAGTTTAGTATTGATACCCAGGGACATTTAGTTATTAATTCAAGTTACTAGTTCATTATATTGAACTTATATTGTTCTTTCAGGGTGTGTAAGTTGAAAGTAAGGTATTGCAACTGTATTGTTGTTTACATTGTGAAGACATCAAAATGTCTAACTTGGCAGAGCTGATCAAACTGGGCAAAGAATTAAATTTGGAAGGGGAAGAACTTAGAAAGTTTTGTGATGAGAAAGAAAAGAAAATACAAGATGATTTGAGAAAAGAACGGAGATTGTTACGAGCACACGAACTAGATATGAAGACACAAGAGATGGAATTGAAAAAGCAGGAAATGGAGATGAGAAACAAACAAATGGAACAAGAAAGAATATTAAAAGAACAAGAATTGAATTTGGAACGTGAGAGAATAGCTGCGTCAATTCAGATTGAAAAAGAAAAGGCAGAGGCACAAATCAGAACTAAAGAAATGGAAAATGATTCCAGAAGAGAAGCTGCTATCCAAAAAGAAAGATTAAAAGAAGAAGAAAATAAATTCAAAAAGTATGCAGGTATAGTCAGAAATTTCTCTGAAAAGGATGACATTGGTAGTTATATATCTAGCTTTCTTTTGCAAATGCGCTTTCATGATGTTCCAAAAGACCAGTGGGCCATTATTTTTCAAAAACATTTAGCATTTGAACCATTAAAGATCTTAGAAACAGTCCCTGAACATCTAAGATTAGACTTTGACTATATTAAAGATCGCATCATGCGACACTATGACCTACATGAAGCAGGGTATAGGAAAAAGTTTCTGGATTTAAAGCCAAAGTCTGATCAGACGTTCACTGACTATTTTTCGGAAGTTCAGAATATTTTTGATAAATGGATTGATTCGGCCAATGTTAGAGATAATTATAAATTATTAGTAGATTTATTATTAAGGAACAAAATGTTGGAATCTTTACCTAAACCTATGTCAACCTT